AGCGTGCAGCAAGGTGTATCCCCAGGGGATCGGGCCTTTGGCTTGCAGCAAGGTGTATTCCCAGGTGATCGGGCCTTTAGCTTACAGCAAGGCGTACCTCCGGCTGATCGGGCCTTTAGCTTACAGCAAGGTGTATCTCCGGGTGATCGGGCCTTTAGCTTACAGCAAGGTGTATCTCCGGGAGATCGGGCCTTGAGCTTACAGCAAGACGTACCTCCAGGAGATCGGGCCTTGAGCTTACAACAAGACGTACCTCCAGGTGATCGGGCCTTTAGCTTACAGCAAGGTGTACCTCCAGGTGATCGGGCCTTGAGCTTACAGCAAGACGTACCTCCAGGTGATCGGGTGGTCTTTAGTCAGTATGATGATGTTTCAGATGAGCGTCGTAGGACCTTGCCATTGCACAGCCAGTCAGGGGCACAGCCGCCTAATGTACATTTCGAGGCGGACCAGACCGTTGACCAGCCGATGGCAGGAGTGTCAAGAAATACACCTGCAGCGTACCCGTTCTCTGGCTTGCTGCAGAGCGATGTGTGCGGTGCATCGGGCGGAGTGGTTCCACCCGCTGCGCAGTCTCCTCAGGTTCGTCTTCGTGGAGATTACGGGGCTCGCCATCGCTCCAGAACTCCGAGCCGAGAAAGGACTGCCTATCCTCCTCCACCGCCTCCTGGCATTCCTCCAAGGCTACCTGAAGGGCGCGAAAAGACGGCAGGTGCTGGCGCCAAGGGAGGCTTCAACTCTTCCAGTAACCCGCTGGAGACCTTGGTGGCAGGGATGACTCAGATACAGGAGGTGCTACTTAAGGGGAGATCTGGTGGCGAGACCGCTGAGTATGATCCCTCGAAGTTGGTGGCAGAGTTTCCGAAGCTGAAGGAGAATTCCACTGAGTCCGGCGCCATAGACTTTCAAGATTGGCTGTACTTGGTGGAGCAGCAAGTGGGTAGCATGGCATCTGGAGCTTCAGTTTGGTGGAATGGGATGGTTGCGGCAGCTATGGCGGCATATGGGAGATACCAGGCGTCTACGCCGATTCAGAGGCTGTCTATCTCAGCTGAACTGCCTGCGGAGCTGGAGGATGCAAAGTTCTCTAAGTTGGAGAAAAGGGTGGCGGCCTTATTGGTTGCCTCGTTGCCGCAGGCGATGCACGAGGAGATGGTGGCGTACCGGGTTCGGCGAGTGCATCAGCAGCTATTCAGGCTGCTGGTGTGTTACCAGCCAGGCGGCAGCTCTGACAGAGCTCTTGTGCTGTCGCAGTTAGACCCGAAGGATGGGTCAACAGATGTGGGCGAGGTTGCGGCCTCACTTCGAAGGTGGTTTCGCTGGCTGCAGCGAGCTCAGGATCTACAGCTTTCACTACCGGACCCTTCGATCCAGATAAAGGCCCTCACCTCGCTGACCAAGAAGCTGGCGGATCGGAACTCGGACTTCCAGTTCAAGATCTCCTTGGCACGTACGGAGTTGAGAGTAGACAGCCGCCCAAGCCAAGACACGGCTCTCCGCTACTTTCAGCACTTGCTCGCTGAGGTGGAACAGATGGGGCCAACTAAGGCAAAACCTTCTACAGCGGCGGCAGCTTTGAGTGCACAAGCTATGGCGGTTGCAGCCGAAGACACTCAGCAGCGACCTCGAGCGGGACAAGGGCAGCAACCTAAGGCGCCTACGCAGACGCCGACCTCTCCCAAGGAAGGGAAAGGAGAGGGCAAGGGCAGTTGCAAGTGGTTTGTTTCTGAGCAGGGCTGCAGCCGTGGGAGAGCATGCCGCTATCTACATGACTGGTCGCAGGTTGTGAAGGCGGAGCGTTGTCTGGTATGTGGCAGCAAATTGCACAAGGTGAAGGACTGCCCAAGAAAAGACCAGGAGCCAGGATCAGATAGTCCGGGACCAAAGGGTCTGAACCGAAAGGAGCTGAGGGCCCTGGCGTCAATGTCTTCTTCGTTTACAGGGCAGGGATCTGCAGCAGCGCCAACGGCGGCAGCAAAACCGCAGCCTCCGCCGCCCCCTCAGGCTTCGATGGCTATGACTCCGGCTGCAAAGGCAGCAGCAGATCCACCTATCCAACCCGCTGTTACAAGCGACTCGCTCAAGGAGATGTTGGTTGAGACAACAAAGGCTCTGAAGGCTTTGAGTATGACATCGGCCCCTTCGCTGGCGACGCCAGAGCAGAGCGCCCCGGCAGTGCAGGACCCATTGCAGCTCCTGTCCAGGCGCCTTAACAAGTTCACGTTGAAGAGTTTGGATGAGAGGATGGCCTTGCTAGACTCCGGTGCCAGCCATGCCTATCGAAAGGCCCACAACGGAGAGGAGTGTGACAGGGCACGGCCAGTGAGTGTGAAGCTTGCCGAGGGCGAAACGACGCTCCTACAGACCGAAGCGGGCACGCTACTGGGAGATAGCGCGGCCGAGACCTTGGTTCCCTTAGGACAGCTGGTCGAAGTTTTAGGGTGCACCGTACAATGGAGCAAGAACCGTTTGGTTGTGACGCACCCCGTGCACGGCCGATTGAAAGTTCAAGTTCGAGACTTTTGCCCTCAACTTGCTGAACAACAAGCGCTCAAGCTAATAGCCGAACTTGAGGAGAAGAGACTACGAGACTTCAATAAGGCGGTGCACTCCCTCGAGTTGAAGATGGCCCAGAGCGACCGCGAGATGGAATGGTTTGAGTATGTTCAGGACTATGTGGTAAAGGGCGATAGAGTGGACTTGTTGGCGGCTATTTCCAAGGCACCCTTTTTCCAAGACTACCCCATCGAGACGATCGCCACGGCCGCCGAGGGCATCCCTGTTCAAGAACGAGACGGGTGGCTTTTGTTGAAGGGCATGCCGTGGTCGAGAAGGAAAAGGAGATCCTTGTTTCAGTCTAAGGACTGGAATGTTCACTTGTTCTCGGGAGCTACAAAGCGCGGGGACCCAACGACTACATCCTCGAAACTAGCAGTTACGAGCGCTACGGGCGTGAATGTGGATGTAGACCTTCTCGACTCCAACCTCCTGAATGTCACTCGGATGGATGGGATATACAAGCTTCTCTTGTGGGCCGCTGCTCAAGGGCGAATTCGGACTTTGATTGGTGGACCTCCCCGACGGTCTTACTTGAAGGAAGATGAGCAGCGCCGGGATAAGGAGGAGCAGTTGCTAGCCAGGATGTTGATCTTGGGCATGGTGGCTATGGAAGGCAGGCGACAGTATAGGAGCGAGCGAGTTGGAGTTGCCATTGAACACCCCGACTATGAGTCTGAAGGCGGCAATTTTTGGCAAAGCTCAATGTGGAAGGAGTTTGCTGAATGCTACTCTTTGGAGGTGATAAGGTCTGGGAAGGGCTCCACGGGAACTAACTTCAACGGAAGGTTGCTCTACAATGTTGCCTCTACAACAGCCCCATCTGGAAAATGGACAGATGAATATGTCGAGTGGATGGGTGAAGTGATCAATGGTTGGACTGGGTACAGTCTACGTGACTCAATCCTGTGTTCTGTTGCCGTGGACAAGGAGGATGTCAAGCTGGGCAAGATGACGGCGAAGGAGTGGCAGCTACATCTACGTAGAGATCATATACCCTACAGGAAGGACTGTAGACATTGTATACAATCCTCTTCGGGACGACCTCATCGCCGAGTTGCCCACCGCTCAGCGTATGTTCTCTCTGCTGATGTTGCAGGGCCTTTTCGGTCAAAGGGCTTGAATACCGAGACCAACCAATACAAGTTCATGCTGGTATGTGCGTATCAGTTTCCGAGGCTGCCCGAGACCCCTGCTGACCCGAGAGAGCCAGTCGATGAGGACGATGGTGGAGGAGTTGGCGAAATCTTCCGTGAAGAAGATGAAGAGTTTGACAAGGTTGCTGGGCCCCTGTCTGATGAGTTCGTTATTGTTGGGGATGATGCGAGCAAGGAATATGCCGAGGAAAACGAGGAGGGCAAGGAGGTTACTAAAGAAGAGCGGGAAGCTAGAGAAGCTTCGGAGCCCCTCGAGTTCTCGGTGGCCTACTTTGTTCGACCCCTTCGCTCTAGGCGGTCCGGCGAAGTTCTACGAGCGTTGCAGGAAGTGTACATTGACGTGAAGATGCTGGGCCTTCCTGTAAATCGCCTTCACGCGGACCGGGCCCGAGAGTTTCGGACCCCAGCGGTGTCCGAGTGGGCTGC